CCTACACTTAATCAGTGTTTACCGCAGTAATTTCAATTTACTGCCTGCATCTAAATTCCAAACGATGGTAACCATACTGCATGACTCTGGTTACTTTACCCGCAGCTTAACATTGTGTAGTGATAAAATTTGTGGATATTCATGGTTGAAAATTGCTGCGTTAGGCCCCACCCAGCTGGTATTTTAAACTATTTGGTGTCGATTTGTGTTTGTTTCATATGCATTGGCCCAATATCTGCTACTTCATCACAAAAGCCATGACGGTGTAAAGCGAGTTACCTGAAGTTCCCCCCTTGTCATTCTTTGTCTTCTTGCTCGAATTCCTCCTCCTCCCGTGGTGGTGTTTGTTCCTGGATTTGTTCAAAGCTATAAAAAAGAAAGAAACATAAATCGACTCCACGCATCATCACTATTTAACCACTCGAAGAAAATGACTATCTTCGTTTCTAGATGATATTTCTAGTCTTACCTCCCTGATTTTCCTGGAACTGATTTATCGGATCCCTGCGGCCAGCCTCGGCAGCGACGACTTCTAGTGACAAATCCAATACCACATGTTATGCAATATATCCAGAGAACAAACGAGAGAAGGTATTTTACCACATTTCCAAACACCGAGATGAGAGTTGAAATATGATGCGCAGCGAAGTATTTTCCAGGAACGTCGAGGTGTTAGGAAATGCGATGAAACACTTTCTCGAGTGCTTATCTTCTTAATTAAAACTAAAACTAAGAAGAAAGCGGATAAATAAAAATTGAAAATCTACGCTCATTAATATCAGATATACATTCACCGTCACGGTTACCATTTCCTTTTCAGGATTCGAGATATCGGCAATAAAAATACACTGAAGAACTCCAGAGGAAATGAATTTTGGTTCAAGTTATTGCGAGGTTTGAGAAAGTGGGAATGCACTAGACCTCACGTCATCCAATAAAACAGTGACTGACTTAATAAAACCGTTCACCGTTCACTTACTATCAACCGTAAAAACATCCTGGGGACCCCTGCCTTTACTTCCGCACATTACTGGAACGAACAGTGTTACGGAGCAATTACTCGAACCGAGCCGCTTAGAAGAAAGCTAGCCCGCAATTACTTCACTCTCCATTTAGGAATTAAGCTTCAGTGTTCTTTCATTTGGTATGATATCGCAATTGAACACCGGCTTCTGTTATTCCCGTTGTGATGAATCAATTTTTTTTCCTGGACTACGAGCAGCATCTCTTTTTCTTATTCGATCTGTGGAGTGTGACGTAAAACAAAAAGAAACAGAGAAAATTGCCATGCGAGGGCCAGACCCTAGCGTGGCAGCCTTTCCCGCCATGCTTGACAGAGAAACCCGTTTAAATGGTTGTTTATGGAGTTATGGTGCAAAATTGGAAGTCGAGGTTTTGCCGATTAAATTCGTTTTTAAAAGCCATCAAGTATGGTCCGTTCGGTAAAAAATGACTAAATCGTGCTGTCATGGAGCGCGGCATTTCATATGTGAGTACAATTTTGAACTTTAACGGTGATTAAAATTAGCATATGCCATATAGACATCTTTGGCGATGGTGTAATATACCTACCCTCTCTTAGAAGAATGCAGGCCAAAGATGGTTGTTTTTCTTCCAAGGCTTTCACGAACTCCTGATATGCACGCGGTCCCCTTGCTGGTAGTATGCTCAGGAACTCCTGACTCTGACGTTTCCGTTTGTCAATTTTGTTTATTCTTTTTGTGTCATCTGAAGTCATAATTCCTTCCTGTATTAAATGAGGAAAGAGTTTCTTTGGTTCAAGATCTTTTACGAGCGACGCGTGGCACCTTCTGAGTATATTCCTGTGCTTCTCAGAAGTTTTTTTTGCGTTGTCTTGAGAACCTGTTAAATTATAGATAGACGGAAGTAGCATTATCTTAGTAACACCAGTGTGAGATTGAAAACCTGGAGGGAGGATCTTGGGCCTGCTGACGAAAAGCTGATTGAAAAATATACAGGGCGTTAAACATGACACTAATATTGCTCTTAGTTACGTGCTCAAAAAGTCTCCTTCCAAGATAGACTTAGTCCCGCAATGCCACTTTTGGAAATGCCCTAAACAATAGCGTGAAATAACAACATAGCAGTTCTCAACTTTTCGCGAATGGGCCCTATTTGAGTTTTAGAATTGCCTTTTTCGCTTTTCTGGGTGTTAGTAAAACAACAACAGAGAAGGCCTCGAAGAAGCTTTATGCATGATATTGTTGAAAATGGCGTCCAAATTTGTGCGTACTGGGGTTTTGGTTTCGATATCTATGTCACGTTCTGTTGCCTTCTTGATGCCTTGATCAGCTTCAATGAGCTATATCTCTGGTGAAAGCTTTTTTTTGGGCCCCGAAAAAATTCAGGGACGTTATACAGTCATTGTCTGAAGAGTATTTTTTAAAGTGTCAGATCTTGCAAAAGTGTGTGTGTTTTTTTTAATTGTTCCAACACAGGTAACCCGAGCTCGCAAAACGAGCGTCCGTATATTGAGATTATTCAACAGTCGAAATATAAGGATTTGTATGAAATTAAACCTCTGCTGCTCGTGTAATGTCTACAATTTGGAGTTATGAGTAGGCAAAACAACTTTCCTTTCGCGGCATTGCTATGATATTTACGCCATATAACAAAAGTGACGAGGACACGACTGACGTTTCAGACTATAGAGGTTTAAGAATCACTTTATACCTCGACAACATTGCGTGCAATGGGAAGGAGCTAAGGGAGCTTACTTACGGGCTACATGCAACGGCGTAGCACAACTTTCAACGATTTCCCGCCGGGGGGGATAACCTGAATCTTTCTACTGAAAGCAAGAGTTACTCTTTTTTCTGCATTTTCAAAATGCAAATAGTTGCACGTAGAGAAAACATCATGCTCAAAATATGAAAAGTTGTCAAAAAGTTGCCGAGCAGCTTGTGGACAACCTTAACTGAAATTGTTGCGCGGATATTGCCTAGTTCCCGGGCCTCGATATTTCCCCGCGGTCAATCGTTTTCGGATTCACGTGGTCTGAGCGAACAATTGACCGTTCGTCTCGGTTACGTCACTGAAATGAATTGAGCAAGATGGCCTAGCAGGAAGTCGTAAAGTAAGTAGGCAAGCAGCCACAGTTGTACCTCATATCCCGATCTAACTGATTTTCAAAGATCTTAGACTAGGGAAATGAAAAGCATTTTGACTTTCTACAGAATGAAGCCCTACTCTGTCACTAACCACAGCCAATGAAACGAAATCAAGCTTCCAACGCATTTTCTCTCGGCCCTTTGCATGATCGTGCTCGTATCTTGTCTCGCACTCTTTTATCATGTACACTGTTATCGCTAGAAAAAGGTTTTTAATCTTGTTTTTACAATTAATTCCTGTAGTATTGATATTTATTTTCGTAATAGAGAAGTGAGACATATTTGCGGTTTACGCAACAGTAACATGCAAATTTGTTTTACTAAAGCATTGTCTTCAAATGACAGATTGGACAGTTCCAGTGACTGATTAGCCGGTCGATTGAATTGTTGCTAATATTATAATCTTCTTCTAGGGTACGGTTTTTCTACTGGTTTTCCTTCTTCCAATTCGAACTTCGAGGGAGAACCCGCATGAAAAACCGGATACAACAGGGATGATGCACGACTTCCTCTCTAACTATTGATTTTCAGATTTATTAAAATGAAATAAATCTACGGACCGATCAAAGCGATATTGCTAGACGATATTTCCATCTCCTGTCAAAGCAACAGAATTGTCATGGATATGTTTCTCGTCGAAAGGTCACGTCAAACATTGATTTATCATAGTCTTATGACTCGATGGTCCACTAAATTGTATTGTAAACGACGAGAAAAATAGACACACTGTCAAAGACGAGCTAAGGGCCGAGTACTGCATGGCCAAAATAATGGACTCCACACATTTAAGAGGAAACTAAGAAGCTAGCCCTTCCATAACTTGGCCTATTTATACACTAACAGATTATATGTTTCGACATATGTTCCTCTTCATCGTCACTTCTCTTCAAGCACAGCCTTGAGTGCCCGTCTTTTAGCAGAGGGTTGATACTCAATGGAGCAATCTTTGCTGACGTCGTTGTTTACATTCTTGTTCATTAACATACGACTGGCATTATACCAGGACACGAATTGACTCCAAGCATTACAAGAGCTTGTGAAACTTAGTAACTGGTGAAATTTGCTGCTCCTTGGGTGTGATATTGGAGTAGAAATTAGTTTTCAAAAATGAAAAATTTTTGGGTGACAAAAGCGCTTCTTATGACAGCTAATCTTGAAATGGCATTTCAATATTCAGAACTGTAAGTTTTTTTTCGCTTGATCAGAAACTGAATCGCTTATAATCGCTTGTAGCCGAAAGTTCACCTATACTTGAAGGCGTCAAATCTAACAGTGATTACCGTAAAATTTGATCCCCTTCCGAAACATTCATTCCCCTTCTGTTAAACCTCGGGAAAAATTGCACCAATCAATTGTGTAAACACAACTAAGATTGTGAACTTAACAGCCTTTTTCGATTGGAAAGTTCAACACAAGTGGCGTTCTGCCGATCACGGTAACTGATTAAACACGATTTGAGTAGATTTCTGACTGTCACTAGGGTGACTGAGTGACTGTATTCTAAAAGATGAGAAAAATAAACAGACACTGTTCGCAACCGAAACAAAGACGAGCCGAGGCTGAGTTATTGAAACAAATTAGCAAAGCAAGCATTAGTTGTGAAAAACAATGGCACTAACCTTTAAGAGATATTTCACTGCAGCAATTTTTTCCCAAAGGAAGAGCACTGATTCACCCTGTCAGCCAAGTTATCTAAAATAAGTTCAAATAATTTCCAAATTATCTCAAATAACCACGTCAGTTATCTCCCTGAAAATCACAGTTACAAGGGCACGAGTTCGCGCCAAGATGTCATGTACGTCCTAGTCTTAAGGAATGAAGGAAGCGCAGTGTTAACCTGGTTTGATTTGGCAGTTCAGTTTAGCCGGAAAAGCATTTGTTCATCCGCCTTCATGCGACAAGGAAGTATAACTGTGCACCGGACGAACTAAGGAAACCACCCAGGCGTCATCCGAAGTTTCAGTGATACTATTTTGCCTGAAACCTTTGGACTGCATTTTTTTGTAACATTACGTTGTTGTCATGGCATGAGCACGTATCTGACCCAAGTTAACGACCATCCTTTTGCTTCCTGGTTTTTACTGATCGTTCAGTTCCGCTAACGCTTAGGCTTGTAACAAAAAGGCAAGTAACAAGAAAACAGCGGAATGAAGAATCTTGCCTGCAATTTGCTCACTGAATCCCTTGGAGTGAACTGAGATTAAAACAGCTCCATTTTGTTTGCTCACAGAATTGTATATTTTCCTTAAAAAGTCATCCAAGATTTGGGATGGGGGACCGCAAATGTCAGTTTCGGTCACTTTTTTCCCAGTTGTCAGTTGCAAGTTAAATAGCACCTACGATCGCGTAACGCGATAAACTAGAAGAACAGATATTATTTTGGGGAATTAATGGTAAGCATTTGCCCTCCAAGTTGTGAGAAATGTCCCATTTCAGGGGTCTCGATTTTAGGGCTATACCGCATTTTCGTTTTCAGAGTCCATCAAGGAAATTTCACAAAATGATGCCGGAATCAAGCTTCCCATTCACTAGATAGAAACTGGAGTTTAAATCTGGCCTGGGATATGAAGTTACCTGAGTACTTCAATCCGGTTCGAATGTAACAATTGAATTATTTCCCAAATTAAACCAGGAACAGCTTAATACTTTTAATATTAGTAAGGCTTTGATTGCGCTGCCTTTGTTCTTTTAGCATCGAACTATTTCGCACGACAATCACGTTTTCTCATTTTGGAAAAATGTTGGGCCATTCCTGCCGGATGAACCAAAGTCATAAACAACTCTCTCTTGAAAGCTGGAGTCGACATGGAACGACTTATATAAATAGATTCAAAATGATTGTTTCAACTGTAATGTCGATCGTTTTACTTCCGGGTTTTGACTGGTCGCTTCACTTCCGCTAACGCTAACAGCCTTATAACAAGAAGTAATTAACTAGAAAAAGGTGGAATGAAGAATTTCATCTGTAATTGTCTTACGTAACCCCTTGGAGTGAGCATAAATACGGTTGCAGTGGAACCCCGTTAACTGGGAGTATTAGTAATGACGACGCCTTGTAAAAAATGGATTTATATCTCATCCTCGAGTGTCGCAACTGTGTAGATCTGTTCAGTAGGCCTATCGGTCTAAACACCTACTCAGGCTAAATATGTAATGACAGCGTTCAGTTCCAAAGGAAGACACGAAAGTTAGCCATCGCGGTAAACGTTCTCCAAAATATCTACGACTTTGTCATTTCACGTTGTTGTTTTGAAGAGGACGGCAAAGAAATGCACAAAGATTCAAAACGCACGTGCAGAACCATTTTCCTGCACATTAAACCTTTTATTTGGCGACGTTCTCGTTGCCGTCGCCGTCGTGGTTTGTTAAAACTCTCTAATCTGGCCAACAACGGGTCACAAAAATCTGGCCGTATTAACGGGGTGGCCGTGTTAAAGGGGTTCGTTATGACTAGGTTTACGTACACTAGAGGAAATTCTTCCGGATCCTTGAGGAATCCGGAAAGTTTTAGTATCTGATTGATTTTGCCGTTTACACACAGTTGGACGAATCCGTAATAACATTTACCCGGTTTGGTCATGTTTCCGGAGATTTAGAGTCGTGAATTTAAAGTGGGAGCTTTAAATCGTAAAACTTTTGAATCCGGAGGGTTTTGTCGTGTAAACAATTTTCTCTCGAAGCCGGATAATTTTCCGCCTGCTATATTTTGAGTTTGCGCTAGAACCAAAATGGCGGATCTAGTAATGTTCACATTGATGACTATTGATGGTGGTCGCTGGCTGCCTCATTCTGTTACAGATGCATGCAGTCAATTTTACAATAGGTAATGCCATATTCCTTAGAAACCTAAATTATCGACGCAAACAAT